TGTAGTACGACGGGGTCTCTTTCGATTACGCTACTCCATTTGCTAAGGTATTTGTGCAACCAAATTTCTAAATTTTTTCTTTTTTTTGGCGGAAGATCAGCATCAGGTAACCTGTGATGAAGGCCTAACTTCTAACTTCTTCCCTTTGTCCGTTGGCTTGAATGCTGTGGATCGATGGTGTTTTATGTAGCCTAAGAAGGATGTTACAGGCCTGTCTACTTAGCAATCCTTGGACGGGTCTACAATGTCGATAAAGGAAGAAAACATTATGGAAAAGGAGGAGGATATCACTTCTTCGCTGGTAAGTGGTGACTCCTTCGAGTCATACTTTGCTATTTGGTCCCTCTGGCCGCTTGAGGAAATCGTGGGGCGATAAGAGAGATTGCTCTGCGCTAGTCGCGCATTGTTGGCACCGTGCATGCACCGCGCGAAACTCGCAAGTGGCTCCAGTTGCGCTCCCATTGTCAGAAGGAGAAAGTATTAGTAGTATGTCAAAAGTATTTCATCGAACAGTTGTGCGGAGGGAAGAAGAAGATGGTTCGTTTGCCTCTGCATCGCTCGCTTGGTTAGAGTGACCAAATCGCGAAGTATGAACACCTCTGGCTTATGTTTTCCACAAACATCTTTGTCTTATCCCTTATAAGTTGTTAGAGTTTTTGTCTTTTACTGTTTATTGGATACCTGAGAGATTGTATGAGAGGTAACCGTGATGCTCTTCTAGTTTTTTTAAAGTGACCAACGTTGGTTTTTCTTTCGAAATCTTTCGAAAAAGTTTTGAATTCCCACTATATTTAAACACTCCACTTGAAGTGACCACTTTCGGAAAGGGTGGCTGATTTATGGACAGCGGCCCTACCCCTTTTCAGTTTTCGTCGAGGTTGTAGGGGAACTTACATCCGATCAGCTTTTGCCGCGCCACCGGTTGAGGGTCACCTTTCTAACGTCGAGGTGCAACCCTCAGTTCTCCCTCACATTGAGGAACCTCCAGCGTGCGGCGCTATGTAACTGTAATAACCCAAAAAATGCTTGATTTCGTATGCGCGGACCAGTGCGAAGTATGGACTCCATCCTGCTCGTTTTCCTTTTCAGATCATAAAGTGCAGCGCCATTTTGTGCGTGGGCGGGATCGTGCCGAAACTCCGAGAGGTAGGACTGGCTTCTGTCAGAAATTTAAGCGCGACACCTGCAGAAAATAAATTTCATGCAAAATTCCTCTCGGAAGGGCTCATCCAAAAAAAGGGCTTTTGCCAAGGTTCAGCAAGAAATGGGCGCAGATGCATAACGGGAAAAGCGGAGCGAAGACTATTTTTATGTCTCTAACTCCTCTTCGTTCTCCTACGCACAAATGGATGGCACTGCTGTCCAACCGCTGATGCTTTTTGACAATTTTGCAGGCACTCATTTTCAGGACGCGACGCTACGAGAGCGTTCGTAAGCGGCGATTTCACAGAAAGCGGGTTGGTCGATAACACCGATGGACTTTCTCATGAAGATTTGTTAGGTGAGCTTTTTTACAAGTGAATACGTTTTTGAATTACTTTTCAGTGGTATGGTAGATGGGTAGTTGGTCCTTAGGAACTTGCCATTATTCCTCTCTTTTGTTTTTTTTTTAATCGTTAGCAGTTTAGGAATTCGTGATTGGATATCGTTTTATGAGAAAGACTACAAATTGGTTGGTGTTCTTGTTGGTAGGTATTACGATGCTAGTGGGAATCCAACGCAAGAGCTGCGGGATGTGAGTTTCTTATAGTACATTTGAATACAAGGTTGACCTTTCAAAGGTTGATCTTTGTCTATTTTTTTGTTTATTCGCAAAGCATCCGTGTGAAAGTATTCCAAATATTCATGCGAAAAAAAAGTTAACGTTCTTAGCGTTGGTATTAGAAGCGAGAATACGAGGGCCATTCAAAATATTCTCGGTATCGAGGTAATTCAGCAGTGACGAAGGAATTTATATATTTCTGTAGGTCACGGTTCTCCCCAAGGGACAAGTACAAAATTTCATTTAGTTAGCATCAGTGGTCTTCTATTTCACCTTGATGAACGAAGATCAGAATGACTGATGCTACAATGTTGAGAAATATGACTGATTGAAAAGTTTGTTTCCCAAGCAAACAAGTGTATTGAGGTTATGGGGGACTACACTGAAAAATAAATTTTATCAGAATTTTCTGTCTTTCCCTTCATACCTATACCGAGAATACATTGAACACCCCTCGTAAAGGTTCAAGAAGTTCACTATAACAAGAGAAAAGGAGAATGAAATCAAATAAAAATCAGAAGCAGATGGGAGACTATTTAGGAGGTAAAAAGGCAAGTCGGATGTTCTACCTTGTTTTATTTTATTCGTTTTGAACTTATTCGTTGTTCCCATTTCAGGTATTAGCTCGTATGAAAACGGCAGCCGAATGGAAAGCTTCCAGAGCAGCCGAGGCGGAGGTGAAGACTGTCCCCATTTTGATTAACTCCTCCAAGGGTCGTATAGTTTTATCCCACCGTTTTATAGGTTTTTCCGCCATGTAACAGCGAGTGGCACCAAAATAGTGGTGGTCGGGTATGGTGTTCAATGAAGAGTGGCGGTATACAGCGAGATTGGGCAGGGGTGCCAAGGTAGCTTTTTCCTGTTGATGAGTTCACGTTTTTACAACTCTGTTTTCTAGAATGAGTTGGAGAAACGGGTTTTCTTTTTTGACCTGAATAGACTGCGTTCACACTTTGTGAAGAGAGAATATGAGAATTGCCGATTCGATCTTCCGGGAGAATGTAGGCAAAAGACGGATGAAAATCGATCGACATCGGTTGCTTGCGCTCCGATGTTCTGGGAGAACGCGTGTTTTTTCAGGGCATCGGATCGCCAATTATCCTTCCGTCGTATTTACGTCGTTTTTCTTATGTCGCCTAGTATGAACGCAGCCTTGCTTTAAATGTTGTTATTATTTATCACTTTTGAATTTTTTGTTGCCACAATGTTTTATTGATGCTTAGAACGTTCTTATTTGAGGTTGCTTTATGATCCAAACACAAAGCAGCAGCGATGTGCCTGTGTGAAGAATTTCGGTCCGGGTTTATCGCCTGCTGGAGCTAAAGGGAATAATCGAGGAGATCTTGACCATCCAAATCTGAGGGTAAACTCTTCACTCTTTGGTCTTTTTTACCTCCAGAAGGATGCATGAAATGTTATGTGTAAAGGCTCATCATCGTGAATAATTATGAGACGTCCCTCCTTCAAGGTCAACCCTAATGGTGAGACAGTTGCAGCTCCGATTTGCCTTTCCAATTTTCTTTTCTTTTGTGTCCGGACCTAAGGTGTTCCTTGTTTCTTATTCCATCATTATCAAGGACGCAATGTTTTTCAAGAGTTTAGCGAAGCGAACGAAGAGGTTAGAAAGGTTGAAGAGATCTTACTTGTCATGTGCATGAATTGCATGAGTGTGCAATTTTGAAAAGATAAAAAATGCTTCAGTACCATTAGAAGAGAGAAGAGTCTTCTTTTGTCCCCAGCTTGAGTCACTCCTTTCACATTCGATTAATTCCCTCATAATTGTCGGACTTCTACTGAGAGACGACATCTTTGGACGCAGCTTGAAGGCAGTTGGCACGATGATTTGGTGCTCGGCCTAAAATGCTAGTAGGGCGCTATATAGTGGGGAAATGGCGAAAGAACGGAGTGAAACGGTCAAAATCCTGCGAAGAAAGAGCCTCCGTTCTCAATGTGTTAGAAATCAATTTTGGACGAGTTTCCCGTAGGCATCTTGCCAATAACCGCTACCGAAGGTACGGCTGCATATGTGTACTATATCCATGCAGCATCACGGCCGCTTCATACCAATCCCTTCGCTTCATAATTTGCTTAGCAAATGAATCGATTAGAGCGTCAGGAACGGTCGTCCATTTGTGGGCGGGCGGCGTGGCGGGCGTTTGGGTCGTAATGTTGTGGCTTGATAGGGCCCTTATAAGGGCACCTTCCTTGGAAAAGGCATTATGCAGCGCCTGCTCAGGGTCGCGGAATTCCGTCCTGCCAGGCGTATTAATCCTACTCGTCTTGAGGATTCATCGTGCCAACTGCCTTTAAAGTGCAAACAGACTACGGTTTGTACTATCTCATCTTGGTTCGTGTACTGTTCGATCTCTTTCCGCTAATTTTCAGGCTAGAGGGGCTCGGAACTTTAAACGTACGCCGTTTTCGAACTTAGCACGCTGAGCTAGCAAGTTTTCGAAGCATAAGTAGTGCGTTTACGAATAGGAAGTCAAAAAGATGCTTAGTTGTGAGAGTTGTACAAGTACATTTCCGGACGCTGGGTCATAGAAACGTCAGTGCACTTGTGTCCTTAGGATTTCCTCCTCAGAAATTTTTGGTACACCGTTTAAAGCACGTCAGGGCTCTGAGAATGAAGAGGTGTGCGGCTCAAATCTCAACGATAAGGTAGTAAGTGATCCATCAGTGAAGGAAAAAGAAAAAAACCTGCCGGAAACGCTCCATGCAAAATCCCATGCTGAACTGCGCTTTAAGATGCACAAAGCGAAGGAAGGGTGTGATAGGACAGTCACCCGTTCGTGTCAGCTCTTTCTCTTATCACTTCACTCTCACCACTCAAGATGGAGCCCTACAGGTTTTGCTGTGCACAACCATGTACGGTTGGACAGCTCAATAGGATGTTCCACCTACCAACCCCGTAAGGCACAACATGAGTGAAACAAGGAAGGATGCCCACGAGGTGGTTGAGTGCAGGAATATGGGGTGGGCACCCCTGGTTAAAGTAATTTGGCCATCAATCTCTAAGACTGTACCACCTTCGCAGCTCCACAGCGAGCAAAGAATGGCACTGCGGCCCTCATGAGTGGCAACTCCGACGCCTGTTTAATTGTACCGCCCGCCAAAACTCGAAGGCTATTTTCTGTTCACGATTTCAGTTTTTACACTGTGCTCCCTTGTTCGGTCATGTTGTCTTACGGGGTTGGTAGAAGGAACATTCTATTGAGCTGTCCACCCATAAGTGGTTGTGTACAGCAAAACCTGCAGGGGTTGACAAAAAGTTAATCAGTGGTCTTGCACTGGACACACGTAGTTGTCCCGTCTTTTGCAGCCTTTTGAAGACGCTTAACTTGCTTGTTATGATATGCCGTGTAACTGTACTGGTACGAAATCCGACGTATAATTAGTTGGGGGGGGTGAGGGGGGAAGGGGGTAACAGAGATAATTTCCAACAATATCGCTAACCTTTGCCATAACAATGTCGTTAACATTGCTTTCCAAAACAATATAGCGTTAACCTTTTCCAAACAATATCGGAACCTATCTTTTGCTCATGGTTCCACGGCTCCAGTGTAAGAGATAACGCAGTGATAGGGTCATTAGATGTCACCTCACTGAATACCAACGTTCAGAACGAGCAAGCCGAGCAAGCATTGTCAGGGATGCTGGACAGGCATATGCCCAGTAGTCGAACTTCTGGGCTTCGTGAGGTATCAATAATGACTGTAGTCAAGGAGTGCTTGAATGAACCTTTTTCATAAAGGCGGGTATAATAGTCGTCATACTTGACGAGCCTCCGTACGCGGCCTGGTCAACGCTTAGCACTAGTTCATCTTTGTTTGTTTCACTGGGAGGATTGATAGTGATGGTGCTGAGGGTCTCCTTTATTTGTAACTGAGATGATATTAATGACTGTCATATAACATTAACGCAATCGCGGACATGAACGAATGCTTCTGGCGGAATGACATGAAACAGTCCAGCACACGTAAGCTCACTTGCAAGCGTTTGAGCTATCTTATCTCAACCAGCACCTAATATCCTGTGGCAATCATCGCGTGTAAAATGGTAGCGCATAAGTAGCTCTGACAAAGTCTTGAGTCACGCGACATAGGCTCATTCGAAAACTGTAAAGCATGCTGTTATCGGTAACATGTTCAAGCGGCTACACAGGTGGCACAGGCGACGTTGAGGCAAATTGAATCTAGGCATTCAGACGAATATAGCACGCCAGCGCATGCAGGAGCATGGCTACAACAAGCCGGATTTACCAAGCGAGAGGTACGCGGCAAAATAAACTCCTCTTATTCTACCCTTCATCTATGACAGAATGAGTGCTGCTATTCAATAGAGCGTTAGAAGAGAACAGTAGCACTTGTTTCCAAAGAGCGGATATTCTAAACGAAAGACATACAAGCGGCCAGCTCGTTTCAAAGCGCTCTATTTTAGGCAGTGTATGTCAGAAGGTGTGTTGTTTCCCTTCATGGAACTGGAGACTGGTGCCTACAAGGACGTAATTTATCGGGTCTAGTCCAGCATGTAACGTAAGCTATATTGTGGAGACCGAAAGCTTTCTCGTTCGTCCCAAAAAAAGATCAAGCTAGCATAAGACGCAGTACTTCTTCAAAACCCTGGCACAAGCTGAAGGACCATAACGGAACTGAAGTAAGGTGCACAGTATTGGCGCATGAGACTTGCGGAAACCTTCTGCGTAGCAAACTTGAACGTTCTTGATTCCCAAAAAGGAATCTCCGAATTTACACACGATTTAAAGCTCGATAACCTGTGAACTCTCGCCTTTGTATCGTACCGCGAGCAGCAGATCACCAAAGAGCCTTAGGTGCGTCTTCCACATGCTACTATGTCGGGAGACAGTACAATATCCATTATGTTCGCGGCAGGATTCACAACCGCTGAAATGATAATGACGCGCTTTTTGTGCTTCAAGAAATGGAACAGGTGAATTTAGTTCGCCTGGATTGGCCGGGACTTCTCATTGCGAGGTTCGCGACATAACGTCGGAGTTGCTAGAGAAGATGAGGCGCTCGGTCAATTAGATCATGAGTCTGAACTTCGGACCACTTTTAGGCCTCCGAAGACGACGATTCAGTCAGAATGGCAGGCCAGTTTAAGATGGTTCCACCTACTAACTTCGTAAGGGACACAAAATTTGACACAAATAACAACTTACATATCGAGGTTGCAAGAAGAGAGAAGTTGGGAAATACTAGTAATTAGTGTTCAGAGAACCGCGGATAGTTGTAAACCTACCCAGCTATACACACAGTGTACTTCAAAACTTGATTGCGCACACTTTTCTGTTCACATAGTGCTCGAATCATAACAAAATACTATTTCCTCCCCGCGGCAAAACATGTCTGTACTCAAACCTCTTTTTTCAGCAGTATCCGAAGTGTTCGCCTTCGTCAAACAGCTGTAGGATCGAAGGAGATTAAATGATGTTCATAAATGATGTTCATAAATGTCAACTGCTTGCCACATTTCAGTATTCTCAGTGATTAAATCATAAGTAGGATCTAGTGTTCGATGGAGCCGGTAAACTTGCTGCCTTTGTTCTTGTTCGGCTGTTTATTGGGCTTACTGTAAGCTTATCTGGGTTCAGCATACATAGGTGGTAGTCTGACGTCTAGCAATTAGCTTCGTCGCCTTAGCCAACAGAGATGTTATACTATGTTATACGGTAACTTTGTTTTTGAAGTAGTTTTTATACAATTAATGATTTGTTAGCTAATTTTCGCTTTAGAGTGTCAAATTTTTGTTATAGAACATCAGGAGCTTACTTGTATAGTAGAGCTACATACTGCCACGGAATCCTTTGTTATTGCTCCATTTGTTTTCTGTTTTCCTTGAAGGTTTGGCACTTTTCTACTTATCTTTTTTTTCTTGTCGGTAGATCTAGTACGATTTGATAGTCATATTAGACGTGTGGGTGGTTCGTGTGTAGTACCCAAATTAGAGAGATCTGTGAAAAAAATCATGAATTATATCAATTTTTGTAGGGTATGGAATTATTTGTACCCAAAATTGTCTTAATGTTGTACATCGAACATTTCGGTGATGGAATAAATATGTTTCTATAATTATATTTTTTGATTCTGCCTACTGTTGAGTCCGTTGTCTACTGATATATTCTTTTTCGACATATTTTCCGTCTGGAGCTGGAACATTCAGTCATTACAAGGCACGCTCCGCACACATTTCATGTTCAGACGCCTTCCTTGAACATAGTAACCCTGTCCGCGAACAAAGAGGATGTGCCTTTTTCATGGGTCAAGAACAGCAGAGCCCCACTCGCTCGTGGCGAAGCCCCCGTCCCGCCCCCTGGCCACTTCAACGCCCAGCATCCATTTCGAAAGGATCCCTGTCAACGCTTTTGCAACAATATACAGCACCGGTGGT